GCGAATGAAGCCTGTAATCTTTGCATGATCGTAGGATGAATATCTGTCTATATTTCTGAGATGAGGTATTATGTACACTATTTATATTATTCGGACTATTGTCCTCATCTTTGTTGCCATATTTATTACAACGTTTCGGATCCTTCAGTATCTGTTTATATTTCTGAGATGAGGTATTATGTACACTATTTATATTATTCGGACTATTTTCCTCATATTTATTAAACGTTTCGGCCATTGTACGTTCCGGCCTTCTTCAGGTGGTTTGAATGTCGGAATGAACCCTTTATTTCGCTCACTGTGGTAGACTGTTCTAGTTCCACGTGCCATGTCTAATGGATGTCAGTTATCAGTTATCTCCTGTTAATTCCCCTCTCCAAGTTGAACTCACGCTCTTTCGGTCCTGTCACCGGATCTAACCAACGCCTTTATCCACTGTGCCATGTGTCCTTGAGCACATCTGTGTATGGTTTTCTCGGTATTGTAAACCTAATGTCTCAGCAATCCTTTTTAACCAGTGCTCATATTGCAAATTTTGCTGTTATCATTTTATATTTTTACAAGAGCTCATATTGCAATTTTTGATGTTATTATCGCTATTTCTCTGGCACTCCTTATTACCGGTTTCCATATTGTATTCATTTCTATGCTTTGCCGGCTCAGGAGATTTCTGTGGCTTAGCATATGTGCTGATTACTTGAGTTTACAAATTTTCCAATGGTATTCTTTGTCTATGATCTCAACCTGATTCCACAGAGGGCGGTGATCTCACTTTTCTCTCCATATGTGGTCTGCCACGCCTGAGTTTTCCACTTCCCTTCGTGGAAATAAAGGATTCAGTTCGACATTCCAACCACCTGAAGAAGGCCAGTGCGTACAACGGCTGAAACGTTGTAATAAATATGGCGACAAAGATGAGGACAATAGTCCGAATAATGTAAATAATGCTAATGAGTAGTGTATATGAAAGTGGCATTCGGGGAACGTACGTCGAGTATTTTTCAGTTAGGGGCGGGGAATCGGCCTGCATTTCTATTATTTGTTTCATGCCATAATGTGGACAGGGTTAAAAATAATAACACTACAAGAATCTCTCGATTAATCCTTATTCGATTAATGCGTTTTCGCATTTTGTTTTATACCAGAATTCGATTATTCATGCATAATAGACGATAAGTACTGTTACACACGGTGGTGTAATGGATAGCGGCTCGAACTGAAGAATCAGAGAACCGAGTTCGAATTTCAGTCGAATCCATTACATTCACTTACGGGCTAATAACCTTAGGAAAGATATTAATCCTCTTCTTCTCTCACCAGTTATGGATTAATAGCAGGACAGACCGGGTTCCGCGTCCTTGGATGGCAACTGGTCAACTGCAGAAAGAAATGGCAAAAAATCTGCCTCGTCAGTCATTTATCGAAAGATACATCATCACCTAAGCGTGTATCACGCATGGCACATAACTGACTGATGGTTGCACATTTTTCAGTTTAAACATACCAATTGAAAATATGGGGCCCATACTGAACATTTGGGAAAAATTGAAATATCGAAAAGTGAAAAGTGATTTTTTATAGTTACCGATTAATTAAAAAAATTGTAAAATTTAAAAATGGAAAATGGTTAACTATTTTGTTTGTCAAGTATTAACTTATCTAAGTAATTACAACTGTGTTAAAAATGGTCTGTTATAAACAGATAAATCTATCAGACGATAATCAAAATACATATTTGAATATTTGTTGGTATTGACATATATTGAATATTTTGATGTTTTTCATGTTTATTTTAAAGGCATTAAAAGAGAATTTCTGATATTTTGTTTAAAAAAATTGACGATTTAATTAGATACAGAAATTTACATTTATTAAAAAATATCGAAACATAAAAGATAAGTACGGAAACATTATAAAAAAAATTCAAGTAAAAATACTAATGATTATGATATGCTTGGAAAATTTCCAAACATATATATATATATATATATATATATATATATATATATATATAACATAAGGTTTTTAAAAAATTAAATTGAATTTTTTTTTGTTTTAGATTTTAATATTTATCTACCCGCCAGCATAAGAAGATGACAAAGAAGTAATTAGAAAATTTTTTCAGGGTCATTGAAAAATTTAAAGGAAAATATTTAGAACAGACCCTGGTAAAGACAGAAGCCAACGAATCTGTAGAAAAATTGAAGGTGCAATTTCTCAGTACCGCAAGGATATAAGAATAACATCCGGCAAACCACTTTAAATAAGTCTTTTATACAAAAGAAACAGATTAATAAACATTAATTCATTGCATTTTTATTGTATTTTCTGAGATGTCAGTCAGATACACGCTTAGGCGATCATGTATCTTTCGATATATGACTGATGAGGCAGATATTTTTCCCCATTTCTTTCTGTGGTAAACCAGTTACCAGGGTCCTGCTCCTGGGTCAGTCAGTCAGTTATGCGTGATACACGATTAGGCGATCATCTATATGATTGACGAAGCAGATTTTTTTCCCGCAGTAGGTTGCCATTTCTTTCTACGGTAGACCAGTTGTCATCCAAAGCTATAGAACCCAGTCTGTTCTTGGGGAGGGGAAGAGGATTCATACCTTTCCCAAGGTTATTAGCACGTAAGGATTTGACTGGAATTCGAACTCGGCTCCCCGATTCCTCAGTCTGAATCGCTATCCATTACGCCATCTCCCTCCCTGGTATTTACTTATATTTTATTTAAAAAAGTACGTAAATTAGAAATGACACTAAAATTTGAGATACAAATTACATAATTTCCGCTAATTACATAATTTCCGATAATTTCAGTGCTGTTCGATAAAATTAACTCACCTGATTTTTTTACTAAATGTTTCTCTTCTCCGATGAAACGAAAGTTAAGCTAAATTCAAATGATAAGCGATCTAAAATCCGAAGAAGAATCTTTGAAAGCTCTTTGAATTTAGCAGTAAGTACCGTCAAGCATCCATTCAGTATAATGTTCTGGGGATGCTTTTCTTTTCATGGAACTGGTTTCTTAAAACCTATTGAAAAGACCCTCAGGAGCGAACAGTACAAGAGAATTTTAGAGTCTTGTCTGCTCCCTTCTGCTGAAATGGTGCAAATCGACCCCACCAAGCTCATTTTTATGCAAGATAATGCTCCTTGCCAAAAATCAAAATTGATGAAGGAATACTTTGATGAGAAGCAGTTGAGTGTTATGACATGGCCGCCCCAATCTCCTGACCTCAACCCCATAGAAAACTTATTGAGCATTATAAAGTACAGGCTCTCGAGAAAGCAGTTGAGCAACAAAGATGATTTGATTGTGAATTTCATATCCGAATGGAATTCAATGCCTGGAGATGAGATATGCCAGAACCTAATCAAGTCAATGCCAAAAAGAGTTGAAAAGGTTATTCAAAATAAAGGAGGACCCATACATTATTAAATATTTCGAACTATATTACCTATTGTAAATAAATTATACCTCTATTATTCTTTATTTAAAGCTGTTCGGTCATGTTTCTATTGATTACTAGTTACTAATAAGTGAGTCATTTTTTTTTTTTTTTTTTTTTTCCCTAAATCTCATTTATATCCAAAATTATAATTATCAATAGAATACCTTAGGGTGAGTAAATTTTTTACTAGGTGGTCGGGAAGGGGTCTTTATATTAGGAAGAATAAAAATTAGTTTGACCCCAAAAACAATAGGCGAAAATTTTTTTATGTAAGACAATCAGATGAGTCACTTTTATCGAACAGCACTGTATATAATTTCCGATAAGTTATTCGATTAATGCATTTTCGAGTAGTGCGTATCTTTTAATTTACACGAGGGATTCCTGTATTTCGAAACAGAAAAAAAAACAACAACTTTCACCTCAAATCTTTGCGTGGCAAAAAAGGTGATGAACAAATTGTTCATTTTTTATGCTTTTCTGTGAGAAAAATGATTAATAAATGAATTTGTATAAAATATTTCCTCTATCACTCTTATCTGCTCTCGTTCCAAATCCTCTGTAACCCTTTGCGTGCTAATGGCTTCCCGCCTTGCTTGGGGTGAAATGCTTGAAAAAAAATGTTATTCTGTATGTATTACCCAAATGCGGGCACATTTTCGTTAATAAAAGTAAAACATCGTACCCCTAAATTTTAAGCATTTACGAAAAAAACAGTCAAAAGTTTACCTGATCATAATTGACTTTGAATGAAAAGCTTTGCAGCTGAAAACAACAAATTCACTTTAGTACTGAATTTGACTTCATTTTCTTTGTAAATAATATTTAGACAAGGTAATTATAGAGGGCGAGAAGAAAGGACTAAGCACCAATTAAAAGAAGACAGCATATCTCGCTGTCAGCAAGAGGAAAAGACCAAGATTTAAACAAGGAACTGGCAATGTCAAAAACAAACAAGTACAGAATATTAAACATTTTCGAAATATTTTAGCAGAGGATGAAAAATATGAAACCGAAAAGCAAAGGCTCATTGGGATAGTGAAAGATGACTTACAAAAGCTAAGCAAAGTACTAAGCGAAAGAAAATATTTGTCAGAAACAAATGAAGGAGTGCTTAAATTCTATGTAATATCAATCTTTGTGTAATGTCAGTAAATTCTAAAGAATTTCCTCACAGAAGAAAAAAAAAGACTGGAGACAACAAGAATGTGGTTCTACAGAAGGATGCTGAGAATATCATGAACGGAGTATGTAATAAAGAGGAAAATCTTAAGGAAAATGGAAACAAAATTAGAATTCATCCCTAGAATCAGAAAGAAACGAGTGAAATTTCTGAGAAACATGATGAGGAAAAAAGGAATGCTTTAAGAATTTGAACCTGACAGGATATATGGGAAAAGAACAGATGGAGGCATTGGTTCACCTACCAAACCAAATTGTGTGAATGGGGATGTGGAGCAGGGGATGGAAGTGATGACAAAAAAGATAAACGTTGCAAGAAGCTTACAAGGAATAGACAGTTGTGGAGAGCCAAATAATCTATGTTCTGTAGGGACACGGCAAGAAGAAGAAGAAGAAGAAGAGGAGGAGGAGGAGGAGGAGGGAAAGAGGAAGAAGAAGAAGAAGGGGAGGAGGAGGAAGCGGGAAAGAAGAAGAAGAAGAAGAAGAAGAAGAAGAAGAAGAAGAAGAAGGAGGAGGAGGAGGAGCTGAAGGAGGAGGAGGGGGAGAAGAAGTAGGAGGAGAAGGCAGAAGAGGAGAAGAAAACTAGAACAAGTGTCAAAAAAACAAAAAACAAAACAAAACGCGACTATTATTTCATAGTCTTATTTGATATACTAGATTTCTAGATATACTAGATTTCTAGATATATTAGATGGCAGTAAACATTCTCAGAAAGACCGGGAAATTATCCCAAAGAAAAATCTGATATTAAGTCATTTACTCAGATTTCGAAATGGGTTTTTCAGCAAACCTTGTATACATAAATATATATGAAATTCCATGACTTTTTTGGAAATAATCAGAAGTGGTTTCCCGTTGATATCTTATTTAAAATTCAAAGCTCGTCTTGTCCTGGACTGGCTACCATTCAACGCGAGAGAACTATATGTACGCTTATATTAAACCCATAGACAGAAGAGACGGATAGATGCTTTTCCCAATCGCCATACTGCAAAAATGAACGCAGTTGACTAACCCAGAATTTGAAATCGACTTGTCAACTTTGCCTCTTTGGGCAATAACTGTTGTGATAAAAGAAAGGCACACAGACATCATATCAATGAAAGTAAATATATACGAGGTATTTACTCTGTCGGAGTTAGCTCCCCCTTAATTCCCAAATTGTCACTAGGGGTCATTCTCCCTATACTATAAATACTGGGCGACTCCTCGCCTCGTTCTCTTTTTCATGTCTCCATTTCAGCGACTACAATGTAAGCTCTATTAGAAGATCCGCGCCTTCCCATTTGTGGGAGACGTCATGAAAATTACACAAACATACACGTACGTACGAACATTCACCAAAGAACAGAAACAAACGTGCACGCACACAAATATTATTGTCTATGTCCATTGTAAAATTATTTTGTTTAATACATATATCTGTTTATATATATATATATATATATATATATATTATATTTATATATATATATATATATATATATATTTTATATATATATATATATATATATATATATATATATATATATATATATAAATAAGTAACATAGAAGTCAACACTTTGAGGCGACAGTCTGTTTCATGCTATATGCCTGACTTCTATGTTCACTTTTATATTTACACACGCTCTATCTCTGATAGGGAGCACTTTATCCCATAAATATATCACATCTTAAGACTATATTTCTTCATATATATATATATATATATATATATATATATATATATATATATACATCGGTCTTGTTTGTCTTCTTTATCTTCAGTCGGCCATTTTCTTGTAGTTGAACCTTTTAATATTCTACCGGGATTCATACTCGTGTTTCTAATACAACAACACACAAACACACACTGCCCACAATAACTCTGTCTCCTCACTAAGACGAGTTGTAACCCGGGCAAGGAACATAAATTCCCAAAGCCCCGGCAACTGTCGGTTGCGCTGGCCGCAGCGCGAGCACCGATCCCTCTCTCGGGTGCAATGAGAGGGTCCTTTGACGGAATCGCAACTGAGTGCACTCTGCAAAAAAGACAGAGACGCAACTGAGAGGTGATAAATAGAGCGTTACGAACTCCTCGAGAGGAAATTACACACTTAGCAATTTCCCAAGCGTAGAAAGGCCGAAAGTATGGGGCACCCAGTGAGCATCGAAATCACTACTCATTCGTAATTGTTCTAGCGAGACAAGCTTGCTAACCATGACACCGCCTGGAACACAAAAGTTTTTTTGTTTTTAAATTTATCGATCATAAATAGTATATCGATTAATTAATCATCCAATTATTACCTATGATCTTTCACCAAAGATTCGGAAGTTTTCCATTTTCATTTTCATAAAACGTCTTTGAATTCGGCAAAAGACCAATTAAGTAATATTGCCTTGTGTTAAACAATTAATAATTTGATGACATTGTCTGGGGTATATGACACGTGAGAAAGAATGTTTCATCCCAACTCCATTATTATTATTATTATTAATTATTTTTATTTACATATTAAATCAGTGATTCTCAGCCTTTGTGCCGCATTACATTAGTGGGTTGCGCGATTCTCTTAAGTTTGCCGCGAAATATTGTCACAGTATATATATATATATATATATATATATATATATATATATATATATATATATATAGGTGGGGAAGTAGTAATGGTATATCATTAACCATTTGAGGTATGCGTTCCTGAACAATTTTAATTCTTCTGCCTGAGATCTTGAGACAAAATTCGCAAATAACTACTACGTAATGTTTCACGGTAGATATAAAAATCGTTACAAGTGTTTACCCACCGTTCAACCGGTGGCTGGGCATTACGTCGTTTCTCTCTACCACTGTTCAACCGGTGGCTGGCCATTAAGTCATTTTTCTCTACCACCGGTAAAGCGGTGGTCAGGTCTAGAAGCGTTCATATTTGAATAAATGAATAAGTATTACACCATTTTTTAAAAATAATTCTTTTCATTATACTTCAAATCATTTTTTGAAATACTTTGTTTTAGTATTCATTCGTTGAAAAGTATTTTTATTTTTTTAATTTAACTTTTTAAAATTTTCTTTTATTTGAATAAATAAATATTCACCTATTTTCATATAATTGTATTCAACATTCTTTGTTTAATTCCAGATTTATGATTCATATTTTTTGGATCATCTCACCCCAAGCAAGGCGGAAGTGCCACTAACACGCAAGGGGTTACAGAGAGTGAAAGTGAGAGAAAAGAAGTGGGATTGAGGAAAGAATAAAAGATGAACAGGTATCAGGGCAAGAGAAGATGGCGACTGACGTTGCATTTAAATTTTTGAAAATTGTAGTTATCAGGTAACCAAGTAAGAGCAAGATAGTACCACTGTCGGGAATTGTGAGAAAGAAACTCTTGGAGTAAAAGTTGTGGTTCCATTTAACTAATTCAACAGCAAAAGTGTGGAACCAAGATGCCAATTTAATAGCACGCTTAAATTTATGTAGTCAGGGCACGTTTCATAATATTTAAATCTATATACCCTTTAAAAATGTTGCTGAGTGTACCGTTATATTTTCATAGTAGTTTTGTTGCTTAAAAAGGTTGAGAAACACTGTACTAGATTGTTCAGTAAAGTTCTCAGAAAAATCAAAAATGGGTTCGAAATTAAATTTCAATATTTTGTAATTTCAGAAATAAGTTCGATTGAGAACTGTTTAAGAGAATTTGTATATATATATATATATATATATATATATATATATATATATATATATATATATATATATATATATATATAAGAATTGTGTTGACTTTTTGGAAAATATATTATTAGGTGGTTATCTGCTGTCTTCTCTATTGTTTTGAATTCAAAGCTGTCCATCTCCTAGACTTGCTAAGGCTAGAAAAACAAACCTTATCTTTACAATAACTGGAAGGAGAAGAAATAGATTGATTCATTTGCTTAGGGTATTTGGTGTAAATGTGAACACAACGCACTAAGCTGCAATTTGAACTCGGTAAGACAATTTTATTTTTAGGGCCGATCACCAACGCACTACACGCACATGGATTTACATTTCAATGTTATTATTCTACCAAGGGCTTTCCTCTGGAAGAACACACCAAGGCCTATCAAACAGACGGTGCAAATATCTTTAACTGCGGCAAACTCAAACCCAAAACGGTGAAGGAGTATGAGTATTTTTCAAAGTATTTTTTCAAAGTATTTTTCAGTGTATTTTTCAGAGTATATTATCAGAATATTTTTTCGGGGTATTTTTAAAGAGTATTTTCAGGGTATTTTTCCAAAGTATTATTTCAGAGTACTTTCGGGGTATTTTTTAGGGTATTTTTCAGAGTATTTTTAGAGTATTTTTTCAGAGGATTTTTCAGAGCCCCCGCATCGCTACCGAATGTGACAAAATGTCAGTTTAAAGTCGATTTAACGGCAATGTGTTGGGAAAATTGCTCAAACTCCCACTGTGCTTCCCCTTTTGGGTACGCCTCAGGCGTTGGGAAATAAACGCAGCTCCTCCCGAAGGAGAGGTACCGCCTAAGTAAAAGCCCTTGTGAGGCTTGGGTTTGATATTTTTTGACTCTTCACAGCATGTGCCATGAGAATACAGTGGACATCGCGTTGGCGTGCTGTCGTCCACCAAACCCGTCGTTAAAATCTCACTGTGCAAGCCTCCTTTCAGTTAAATATACCTGGATATGCCTGGCCAGCTACGTATAGGAGAAGTTAAAATAAAGCCAGTACATGAATTTAACTTTAAATGTGGGAAGTAGGATAAGAGACGATGCAAAATGTGACAGAGTAATTTGCAGACGGATTGGAATAGCGAAAGATGCCTTCCTGAAACTAAGCACGATATTAAGAAACAGTGAACGTTGGACAATTTCTTCATAGCTGAAGTGGAGACAAGAGGCAACTGGGATGTGGTTTAAGAAAAGAATGCTGACTATACCATGCATGGAATATGTGAGAAATGAAGAAGCAAAAAGAAAATGGTAACGCAGAGGATAAAACATAGATATTTGAAATATTTTGGGCGTATAATGAAGAAAAGGCAAAGAGGGAATCAGAAAGTAAGCCACCTCACAAGCAGATGGCAGATAATTATTAGGGCGCTATGACAATGGATCAAAAAACGCTTAGTGCTGCAAGGATAGGAGGTAGGGAAGGGCCGTGATCTCTTTTGTCCTCGAGGAACAAGGCACATAAAATAAGAATGTTTGTACATTCAGCATTATAACGTTATTAATGAGAAGATAAAATAAAATTAATTTCTAGCGGCAGCGGCCTTCTTAAATGGGTGATGATGTTCAAGAGAGAAAATTATTCCATTATCCTAAAAAAATCATCATTTAAAGGATATAAAATATGTTTTAATTTTGAATAAATTGAACATGACGGTCAATACATTTTATATAAGAATATAAGAAAATCATATCCCTAATATATATATATATATATATATATATATGTGTGTGTGTGTGTGTGTACTTATTGGGTGGTCCCTGGAGATACGAGATTCTTACGGGATATAAATGTTAGCGGGCGGAAGTTGTAACTCGAACGGACGAGGTAAGAAGCCTTTGCGCTGTACGTCGCCGCGGTTTTTGCTATTAAAGACAGCGGCTGTCGAAGAAAGCATTAGGCAAGAGATTTACTCTTCGAATGGAGCAGGCAGAGGAAATGGACGGTTGGTGGTCGGGGTCGTTCGGCTCAAAGAAGAAATTTTCCCCCTTTATTCGGGTGCGAATTAGAGGAAGCTTTATACACTTACCGCCTAATTCGGTGCTGTGATAACATTTCCCGTCAGCTTCTTCGCCCCCTCTCTTGACAGACTCTACGCGAATTTGATAGCAAATATCTGCGTTAAGAAAAAAAAATCAGGTTTGTGTAAAGTGGTGTGGGTTAGAGTGAATTAAACACAAGATTCCTTTAAGAGAGTACTAACCTTAAGGCTTTGTTCGGCTGATGTGAGTAATATCTCCTTCCGACAATTTTTTAATTATTTGGAGATATTGGCTTTATGTTATATTTGTCAGCAAGAGGAACATTCCGAGCTGGGAATGACGAATTGAAAATGACAAAATGAAGGCAAGTACGAAAATTTAAACAGCTATGAACTGATTTAACAAAAGACGGGACTTGTGAAACCGAAATCTGAAGACACAATGAAATAAAGAAAGATGCCTTCCAAAAGCTAAGCAAAATATTGAGAAACATAAAAAATTTTGTGAGAAAACAAGGAAAAGATTGCTGAACTGTTATGTAATATAATTCTTCTATGGCGAATTGATTTATTTCGTTCATTTTGTTTAACGGCAATGGTTTATCTAATGCCGACAACATTTTTTTAGGATAGATTCGTATGAATAGAATATGTATATGTATGTAAAAAATTTAAATGCAATGTCAATCGACATCTTCTACTTTGTGAACCTCGTTCATCCCCCCCCCTACACAACCTTTTTTCTCACTTTTACTCTCTGTAACCCCCTGCGTACTAGTAGCATTCCAGCCTTGCATGGGGTGAAATGATTAAAAATAATTAAATCATATGTTTATGGGTTATCAATAAAACACATCTAAATATAAAATAAGACATTGTTAACATCCCTCCATGGATGAAATTCTGTCTTTCCGTTAAAACTTTTAAAAATAACCTGTGAAATTTCTTAATATTTTCTGCTTTCATCAGCTATTATCCAATTGTCTTTTGTGCTCTGTAAAGGATTTCCAATCTCAAATCGGAAATCATCATGATTTGCTATTAGGCTGTCTGCTTTCGCACGATTTTCCATATTTAATCGGAAATCTTAACTTGTGGGTGTTCTCCTCCAACAGCGAACAGATTGCTCCTTTTGCAGAAATTTAGAACGAAATTTAGAACGAAATAGCGTACTGTACAGGAAAAAGGTGCTTTACAATAATTTAATAAACTCACAAACACTTATAGTGAAATGCCGTTTTTCTTATTCCCATATTGTTATGGGATTTTATCCATAATAATAATAATGAACTATTCCATACTAAATAAATACTGTGCCTCAGGATTACGCAGGGGGTCAGTAGTTCAAGTCTTGACCGACTGTTCGGTTGAACTCTCTGCCTTCGGGCGGGAGGAACCCGAAGGAGGCTACGCCGAAGGGATGAATCTCCTTCGGGGAGGTAAACCGGCCCTGAACCCGTTTATACGGGTTCAATGGGCATATTTTTGGGCCGAGCCCACGGGCTCGGAGATCCCACGTTAAAAAGGCCTTGTGCCACATGACACCCTCGTGGGGGGTGACTGAATATCATCAGTAGTTCAAGTCGAGTCAAGAGTCGAGTCAGAGGCAGTCCGAAACAGAGTCGCGTTCAGACAATTACTACAAGACATTGGAATAGTGATACTGGTCGAGACTACATTGTTCTCTCTACTAAACCTGATTGTTCATACTAACACTTCTACTTCTCTGTATATATTCCTGTTTGTAATATATCTGTGTTATTCCATAGTTGTGTTCGAGTTCATCTTTATTGGTTCTACCTTGGACTATCACTGTGGTACAAGGAACCGGACCATAACACCTAGCACCTGGTCGATCAGCAAAAGCGTTCAATTATAATGGAGCAAAAATAGCATCATGTTTAGATGTAACAGAGTCTATCTTCTTCAATTACTTTTAAGTACTTTCATTTAAAAAAAAAACCAACACATTTTGAATTAATGCAGTTACTGATATAACAGAAGTAGTCTGTATTTATTCAATCGTAGTTAGCCGAGGACATGAAATGGTAAAACAGGCAACATGAAAACTCACTTCAGACCACAATTATTTTAGAGTTTGTGAAATTCAATTTGTCAGTGTGCTATCAGGGATGTAAAAGAAGATACATTTATAAAGAAATTCTTAAGTTTATGGAAATTGGTTGAAAGATCAACGAAAAAGAAGAAAGAAACCAGTAAAAATCGCCATTTTTGGTTATTTACGCGGATTTTGACAATATTGGCGGGCTCACTTATCAAGTTAAATGACTGTTAAGCAATCAACTTATTGTTGGCTACCATTGAGTGAAGTTTGTATTAGATTGCTGGAAAAGTGAGGGAGATTTTAGTTTTAAATTTGGGCCGAAATCGATTTTTCGTTTTTCGCGGTATTTCGCTAACGCAGTGGCGTAGAATTAGAACCTACATACCGAGTTTGAACGAAATCGGAAGGAAAAAGTTGAATTTATCGATTTTTGATCGGCTTTATCGATTATTGACTTTTTAAAAATTACCGATTTTTACGTTAAGAACCTACCTCTTACAGCGTACAATGTATGTGCCAAGTTTGGTCAAAACCGGTTGGATGGATGGCGAATAAAAAGATATCACAATTACAGAATGACACAAAGACACAGAAAAGCCACAGATATATACAGAGATATACGCAAATATATTCTCCCTTTCTGCTTGCACGCGCGACCGCACACACATGTATATGCACACAGCCACACACACAATATCAGATGATATAACTACTATTGGTTTCTGTACACAAAGGCATATATAGACATCTAAGATCTTTTTCAGCACCTCCACACATACATGAATTCATATTATCTATTTCTTGGCTTACGGCCATGTCACGTTGAATCATTGGTTCCCGTCCGATCACGGAAGTTAAGCAACGTCGAGCCTGATCTGTACATGAATGGGCGACCGCTTGACAATGCCAGGTGCTGTAAGCTTGATGACTTGGTGGTGTAATAGATAACCGCTTTTAATTGGAAATCGGAGAGCCGAGTTCCAATTCCAGTCGGATTTCTTATATTCCCTCACGCGCAAATACACTTGGGAAAGGCATGAAACCAACTTTTCTCCACACAGCAAGAATGGGTTAATTAGAAGGCCCTGTATCAATAAATCATTATTATCACACAAAAATTTCTTACCATCTAAAAAATTACTTTCTGACATTAGATGGTCTGAAAAAGGTTGATAATCCGTAAAAAAAACAAATCAATCAAACAATATCTTTTTCTTTACATACGCATACAAACGCACACACATACACGCGCTCGCTCGCTTACTATCCATATATGTATATATTCCCATGCACATACAATCAGTTTCTGTAAGCACACGTATACACATGTACTAACAAATTTGTATACACGCACGTACACACACACAAATTAACAATCTCCATGTACATACAATCAGTTTCTGTAAACACACGCATACACACGTACTACCATATCTGCATATACGCACGTACACACACACACACACAAATAAAATTAACAATCTCCATGTACATACAAATGAACAGTCAGTTACTGCATGCATATTAACATATTATACGTGTCTACACACACGTTATCCGGTTCCAGACACACGCACACAAATATACACGCACACACACTTACGATACCTTTCTCAGCACAACCACTCACCCAGTACACTACTTTTCTGTGTACACAAACAAAAATACACGCAGGCACACATATACTGTTCGAACGAACAGTGCATTTTTTGACGCATTAACTCTTCCATACATTTCCTTCGGGAGATTGTTATTTGTGTACTGACATCGATAGTCTTGTTCAACGGTTGTAGCATTTACCATAAAGCGACGGGTAACCCGTATAAAAAAACCGGTATAAATTTTGTAACCACATGCGTGACAAAGTTAAACACAGTATGAGACGAGCACTTGTCATAAAGTGATGGTTAACAGGCTTATCTCGGAACCTAAATCTAGTCTAATGGGTTCAATCCATAACGGATTTATCTCCAAACAACCCCGTACGAGAGGCACCACGGCCTGGTGTAATGGTTAACAAGCTTGTCTTGCCAGAACAATTACGAGAGTGTAATGGAGTAATGGATAGCGGCTCGGATTGAGGAATCGAAGAGCCGAGTTCGAATTCGCTTACGTGTGAATTCGAACCTTGGCAATGACTCCTCTTCTTCTCCCTCCAACCCCCAGCAGGGCAGACTGGGTTCTATATGGATGGAAACTGGTCTACCACAGAAAGAAATGGCAACCCACTGTAGGAAAAATATCGAAAGATACATGATCGCCTAAGCGTCTGTCGCGCGCGGCACATAACTAAGTTCGATCCTCCATTGGTGTCACATCAAAACAACGCTTAGAAAATATGCAACATTTAAACTACGCTTAGAAAATCATTTTAGGGCACCTCGACGTTGTATAATGGTTAGCAAGCTTGTTTCGCTAAAACAATTAAAAGTGAGTCGTGAGTTAAATCCTCACTGGGTGTCTCATACTCTCGACCTTGTGCTACATCTAAGTTACGCTTAGAAAATCACCTTAATATGAGATTAGCGCTTCTCATAAAGTGACGCTTAACGAGCTTATCTCGAAGTCTAAATCTCGCCTAATGGGTTCAGTCAGTTCAATCAAGCAACCCCCGTATAAATTTCGTAGCATTGTCGTCGAAATATTTAAACTAGAAGACGAGCATTTGTCATAAATTGACACCTAATTTTCTATGGAAAATGGCTCTTGCAATGTAGCATTCTTTAACAAAGCTATTTTCGCAGTCTGTTTAGAAGCGATCCTAAATGTGTGCACTCATTAATTTGACGCTGTGTTAGATGTAGGAATTACGTAGGCTGAGATGCACGAAAAGAAGACGTCCATATAATAGCGCCCAAGTACACCCAATTCTAGACCCAGACAATGGCGAATAGTCGAAAGGAGACACTTAAGTACAGATGCAAAATCTCAATTGTTGCATCTCATTTTCAATGACAAAGTCTCTTTGTGGCATCTTTAAGGCGGAAATATTACTCACGTAGAAACATCCCTAATAGCAATAAAGTTCACACACACATAAGCACACGCACACACACCTCTTCAGTCAGTCGCGTGTATTCTCACAGAGGCACTTTTACTCACGTATACCTAAAATAAATCCCTGAAGAACTCGGTTAAACATCTTGCGTTTCCGTTGGCTATTCTCAGTGGGAATTTCTCGCAGCGTCTGTCGTCTTCAGGTCGTCATCTTTGTCGAATTGAAAACCCTGCAGCACTGTACTCAGCCAGACTCGGTTGTCCGAGGAATATTTTGACAATTTTAACGCAAATGCCAATCGAAATATTTCATACTGTCCTAACATAGATATTTATGGCAGCCCAGCGACATTTACTGATCAAAAACATCCATATTTGTCTCTTACGCAGTCAAATTAGAAATTCTTTAACAGTGACGATAAAAAAAAAAATAAAGACCACGCGGTGTATGGATGCGCAGAGGACACCTGAAGAGAGAAAATGAAGAATTATGTACTTCTTCTTCTAGGTGCCGTGCCACTTCAAGGCGTGTACAATCATGGTTCTTCTCAATTTTCTGTCGTTTTTGACTCTTAAAGCGGTATCTAATGTTGTCAAGATTTTGGCCGTCATTAATGTATCCTGGTAAGATTCTCTCAGAAACACCTCGCTATAAAGGTTGAATAAGTCCGGTGAGAAGACTCGTCCTTGTCTTACGGCCCATTACCTTTTCGCTATCTTTCCTAACCCCTGTTCTACCAAATATTTACACAAGCTCGTTAGATAGTTTATTCGCTCCTTTCATCTGTCCTTTTTTTGCCTTCAATATGTCTTACGAATGTTGAACTTTCCAACATCTCGTTCTTCATTATGCGCTCCAGAGATTTCAACTCTTTCTTCCACGTATAAATGTCTTTTTGCTGCCATTACATCGACGTTGCCCACGTGTTTAGTCACTGGTAACCTCAGCATTCCTTCAAGTCTCTCCTCCATCTGTCATACCGTCCAGTATTCACTTCCATACAGGAACCATGTTTATGCGATCATGTATTTTTCGATACATGACTGACTAGGCAGATTTTTCCTGCAATAGGTTACCATTACTTTCTGCAACAGTTGCCATCAAACGCTATAGAACCCAGTCTATCCTGCTATTTACCTATAGCCGGGGGGAAAAGAATATGATTCATACCTTTCCCAAGGTTATTAGTACGTAAGTGAATATAATGGATTCGACTAGAATTCGAACTCGGCTCTCCGATTCCTTAATCTGAGCCGTCATCCATTACTCTACCGTGCCTCTTCCTACAGGAGTACCGATATTATATAATAGTAAATTATTCGTTGTTTCTAATCAATTTTTTTCTCTTTCTTAATACTTTACTTAGCTTTTGGAAGACATCTTTCGCTATCCTAATTTCGCATTTTCTGTCCTCTATTAAAAATACTTCCTAGACTTTTACATTTTTGTAGTTGTTAATTTTGGTGTTTCCAATTCGTAGTTCGTAATTTTGGGGTGTTCTTTTCTCTGACAACCATATACATTCTCTTATTGGTGAGCACCTTGGGTCAATGTAATGGTTAGCAAGCTTGTCTCGCTAGAACAGTTACGACTGGGTAGTGAATTCGATCCTCACTGCGTGTCCCATACTTTCGGCCTTGTGTCGCATCAAAGCTACGCTTGGAAAATCACTATATTCTTTTATTGCAATTGATTGTGCTTACATCTGGTTTTCCTACACTACCCTCTATGGGAGAACCTGTAGTTTCGTTTCTATATCTGTTATCGACACAGCGGTATCTAATGTTGTCAAGATTTTGGCCGTCATTAATATATCCTGGTAAGATTCTCTCAGAAACACCTCGCTATAAAGGTTGAATAAGTCCGATGAGAAGACTCGTCCTTGTCTTACGGCCCATCCAATATTTTGCTTGAAAGCTACATGTTTGGTGTTTTGTAGTGTGAGATCATCTCATACGATTTCTTTATTGGTGGATTGCAAAGTGTATAAATAAGCCGGGTAGTGGAGTGGTGAACGAGCCTTGAATTTTCAAAGCTTCTAGAAGCAAGCATCCAAGACTGTCGATGTCGACTGTTAACAGTTTTTCATGAACCACAAACAGGGAATTGGTGTTACGTTGCAAACAAGCAAAAATTCATTGTTGCTGCGATCAACCAGGCTGCAAAAATATGCAACAACATGCAAGCCAGTGAGTAACATAGTAAAAACGTAAGTTAGAACACTATATGAAGATAAAAAGAGACAGAACAGAGGAGACTATTAAATGGCACTTATGTGAAATAAAGCTGATGGCAATCAATGATGTAAACAAGTGACTGAAATGTATTTAATTTGTTCCTGAAGACCATTCGTAACCCGAAATGTTCGTAAACCGAAACTATTTTTCGAATAGAAATCAATGGAGAGAAAAAAAAAATCGCAGAACAATAAAAATGTAAAAGAAAAGTACGGCACAACACAAGAATGTACACCACACCACGGCTCAGAAATGATTCCGTTCGGGTGAACTCGGTTTGGCAATGTTGTTCGAGAACCGAAATTTTGTTCGATAACCAAGGCATTTTTATCTAGAATTTTCTGTTCGAAAACCGATTTGTTCGACATGAGAGACGTTCGAGAGCCGAGGTTTCTCTGTAGTTAAAAATGTTTAGAGTTTTCACTGACTAGCGAAGAGAAGCTAATAAAAAGAATTATCGGTTATTTTATTGAGTAAGTTTGAATACAATTGCACCATTGTTCCAATAAATAAGAAGTGTTTAAATATCGCCATTGACCACTTTGAAATATACCATGGTTAACGTAGCGACCTAAATGTCTGTTGGACGCCTCGAAAGGACAGTGGATGTCATCTTTGAATACAATCTACAATTAGCATTGAATTTCTTCTACCATCTAAATTCCAATCAGGTGGGAAATCTCAT